GCGAGTTGGCATGTGATGTTGCACAAGAGCTTCCAAGGCGTGGAACCTAGGAGAAGGGACAGATGCCACCCTTCAGGTACAGTACTTGTATTTGCTGGATCCTTTGACTTTATCATCTCTGCTGTGTGCAGGTGGGGACCTCCTTCGGTTTTGCAGTGGATTCTCAGAGATAGAAATAGATTTAGTAAGATGAAGGCCAGAGAGACAGTCACGAACCCCTCAACAGGTTAGTTGTATGAAGTTTGTACTCCACTTTGAGGGAGCTGTGGGTGTTGCTAAGCAGGGCATCACCTTACTAGATCTAGAGAGAAGGAGACTTAGGAGGCCTGGCCCCACGGTATCATGGAATGGAACTTATTACATTACTGCCTCTCGCCTCATAATTCCCCAACCAGATCAGTTCCAGGAGGGCTTAGGGGAGAATTTACCATTGGGCCATTGATGTGAGTCACACAGTTTTAGACACAGATGTGGAGGTTTGACAGGTACTGAATGAAATGGGGTTAGGTCTGGACAAGGCATGTAGGTGGCTTGATTTTCCCTGTGCTCTGCTGGTGGCCAGTAAAGAAACAGGTTCCCAGAAGGCACACCCTCATTCTGGATCAGCACAGACTCAGGTACATCTAGTCCCTGCATTTGGGGGTTTAAAGTTCCTTTGGGCTCTGACACAGATTGCTGGTTTAGAAGCAACAGGCACAGAATCAAACTCTTCCCATTCACAGAATGCAATTAAATGCTGTAGAGTAGCTTGAGGATGGGGGTGGGGGCACTAGCCCCCACAGAATCTCATTCAAGCCCCCCTTCAAGCTGCCCCTGAAAATTAAGTAAAAATAATGTGGTTAATTTGTAACTACAGCTTCAAATCAATCCCCCAGACTCCCCATTCCAATCAGAGGGCTGCCCCTAAACCCCTCTTCCATAGAAATCCTGGAGCTGCCAATGACCAAAGCAGCCTTTAATCTACAGCTTGAAAGCAGTAGAGTGCAGGCTGAATGTTGCTTGACTTTAAAAATGATTTTTAAAAAATTGTTGCCAACATTTGCAATTTGAGAGAATTCACATTTTTAAAAATCTAGATTTCAGATTGTTTTGAAAAACTGGACAATCTCATCACAGTGGGATAGGAGGGAGGTAGGGGGACATATTCCTGCATAGTACAAATCCTTTGAGGTTGGAACTCAGAGGCCACTCCCATCTCAGACAGGGCATGAGCTGCATGAACTGTCTGACTCCTGCTTCAATCTCAAACTGGTTAGATGTTGTTACTTAGGGCCAGTTTTGAGAAGTTAAGTGTTGGAGCACTATTGGTTAAACAGGCTGCTTGGTTAAACTGCCCATGTGGGCAGCTTCACTCTTTACGTTCACTACCATGTGCTGCTGGCTTTGAAATGTATGCTTTGCACATAATGTACATCTCTCAGAAGTGCCAGCATGGCTCTTTCTGGGAATGAAGGGTTACTGTCAGTATTTACATCTGTTTTAGTCCTCAACATCTGGGCTACACCTCTAAGGTGGTTTTGTCTTCAGTGTAGTTCATTCTGATGGAGGGTGGACAATATCCAGGGTGGGTTCTAAGGAACATAGGTTCGTTCCAACATTGTGAATAAATGCTGGAAGTCTCATTTGCCAAGGACACTTTCTTGGTAACAGTTTAGTCTCCGAAGCAACTGTACCAGTGTGGATTTAGTGGACGAAAGGTTTGGTTTAGCGAGTGTGGCTAAGGAGGGTAGAATAGTCTGGGGATCAGGTGCCCAGGCCCATTCTCAGGTGGAGACAGTGGGGAGGTATAAGAGGGCACGGATGGCTGCACCGCAGGCCTGGTCCATGCAGGCGCGGCCACAGAGAGTCGGCCCGAGAGCCAGGGCCCGTGAACGTTTT